CTGAAATTAAATGGAAGGAGGTAATGGAAAGGAAAGCACTCCATAAAAGGAAAAAGGGCTAGAATGGTGGCTTTTAATTTTTCTCTCTCTTAAGCAGCAGAAATCTTTTCATCAAAAGAAATCTTACTGTACATTTGTATAGCCATCTGCTCCCATGATGGTGCCTTTGGAAATGTCTCAAATTGTACGTGTCCAAAACCAAGGCCTTGGATTCTGCCATCCTCTTTAAATCTGTGCCTCCCCCACCTTTTCCATCTTAGTGTGACACCTTCTCCCACGCAGGTGCTCGTGCCAGAAGCTGGAGAGGCAGCCCCGATTCCACCGCCCCTCCCTCTGCTCATAGGCCCCTACTCTTCCCGCCATCACCAGTTCTATACACTCTTCTCTCCAATCCGTCCCCTTGTCTCCATCACCGCCGCCACCCTCTGGGCCAACTATCACTCGCCTGGATTCTGCAGGAGCCTTACCTCGTCTCACCCAAACCATCCTGGCCCCCTTTCCAGCTCAGTGCTCACACACTGGCCAGAATGCGACATACAACAGAGTCACGCACAAATTATAAGCGTTAAGCTTGATGAGCTGGCCTAAAGTTAACACACTTGTGTAACCAACGCCCGGCTCAAGAAGCAGAACAGGGGGTAGGTGGAGGTGGAAGAGGAGGTAGTGGGGATAAATGGTAATGGGAAAAAAACACAATAAAATTAAAACATAAATATAGAAACTAAAAGAAAAAAGAAAGAAAAGGCAGAATGTCACCAGCATCTCAGAACCCTTCTATGCCCCCTCCCAGCCCCCGCCATTTCTTCCCCAGGATAATTACTATCTGGACTTCTAACCATAGATTAGTTTCCCTTGTTTTTAAACTTTATGCACGTGGATTAATGCACTATGTAGTAGTTTATATCTGTCTCAATTCACCCATCATTCTGTTCGTGAGATAGATCCACATTGTTATATTGTTTGTTCATTTCATTGCTGTGTCGTATTCCATTGTTTGACTGTATCATTATTTGTCTAGTTGAGTACTGAGAGTTATTTGAGTGGTTTATAATTTGGGGCTATTACAAAGAGTGCAGCTGTCAATATTTTTATCCTTGGTGCATAGAAGTATGCATTTTTGTTGGGTACCTAGGAATAGAATTATTTCATCATAGGGTATGACCATGACCACAGAGGGATATTTTTGAAGTACAATCAGATTGCAGCATTCCCTTAAACCCTCCGTGGCTTCCCCTTGGCTTTAGAATCAAGTTCAAACTTTTCATCTCAGCCCCCAGAGGCCTCGCATGCTTCGGCCTGCCGTGACCTCCTCCTGCCCACCTCAGACGTTGCACAGGCAGCCTTCCTGCCATATTGGCCTTTTCTGTTCCGTTCCTGAAGCCTGCCTGCCTGATGTGCTGCAGTTTCCACCTGGCCAATTCTTACTCATTCTTTATGTCTCAGGCAAAAGAGAGCATTCTCAGAAGGACCTCTCCTAATCCTCCAATCTAAAAGAACAATCGCCATTTTTTGTGTCTCATTGTACAACTCATAATTGCACTTAACTACAGTTTGAAATTGTCTGGTTGTTAATGACCGCCTCGCCCAGTGCACTGTAAGCAACAAGAGACCGACACTGTCATGTTCACTGGGCAGGCACGTAGTAGGGGTTCAGTAAAATTCGGTGTGGTATAGAGAGTAGCTAAGAGAAGAACCAAGGCCCTCCAGTCACACAGGAACAAGGATGTAAATCTTGGTGCCAGTACTCACTACTCATGTGCCTTTAGGCAAGTTATTTAAGTCCTCTGGGCCTCAGTTTCCTATTCTGTAAAACAGGGAAGATGCTGCTTGCCCGTGAAACAGGTTTTAGGGACACATGAGAGTATATGTATGTACGTTGCCTACAGCGATGGGCACATGGGCAGCGCTAATTAAGCAGCGGCTTTCCCTGTGTCAGCTACTGAAGGCTCGCTACCACCCCAGGGCAGGCTCTGTTCTAAGTCCCCGCTTCGTAGATGAAGAAACTCAGAAACTAAGGCCCAGCGAGGTGAAAGCTTTTGCCTAATGATTCTGGCTGCAGATCCCAGGCCTGCAGCCACTCCACCACTGGCTGCAGCCTGTGAATGGTCAAAAACACAGAGGAGGGGGCTGCAGTGAACTCCGAACAGCCAACGGACTCGCTCACCCCCGCCCCCTTGACATCCATTCATCCCCATGACACCCGAGGTTAGGAGCACAGTACGAAAACCACGGGGTTACACAAACTTCCGTGGTTATTAATAGCTCTGAAGGAAAAATAGATCTGATTACATAAAAATCTTAAACTTCTCTATAACAAAAGACATCACGAAGGAAGTCAAAAAATTAATGAGAGTGTGGGAGAAAATATTTAAACTTCATGTAACAACGGTTTATTATCCCTGGTATGAACATGCTCCTGCAAATAAAATGGAAAAATACAGACGGCCCAGTGAAAAACTGGGCAAGGAATGTGAACAGTGTACAGAAGAGGAAATGAAAATGGGAAATGAACGTATGTATAAGTAGGGAAATGAAAATTGAATAATGAGCTCCCATGTCTCCTAATATTGGTAAAAATGAAAAATATTGGTAATAGTCATGGCTGATGGAGTAAGGAAATCAACACTACCATACCCATTGTTGGGTTTTAAGAATTTGCAGTCTTTTAGAAAATTTTTTCCAATACTATGACAAAATACAATACTATGACAAAAAAAAAGAAATGTGTGACAACTTGCAGAAATGAAAACAATGATAGGTAGTGATACAGATAGATAGACAGACAGACAAGAATAGTCATTGCAACATTTTTGTAGTAACAAGAACCTGGAAACACCCTGATTGCATCAAGGAAATTGCATATTCCATAGCTATTAAAACAAATGAGGAAGATCCAGGCATGCCAACTTACTATTATCTCTAAAACATATGAAGTAAAAAAAAGATGTTACAGAGCAATGTCTATGGTTTGATTCCATTTTCATAGAAAACAAAATAAACATAACCCAAATCATCCTGAACCTTTGTTTAAGCAAAAACAAAAACACAGCACAACAAAAATTGGTAGGGAAATACAATTTTGAATTACAGGGTTAAAAGAGTGGAACTGGAGGGTGTTGGTTTTGCTTCAGAAATATCTTAAAGTTTACATTGTTGCAATGAGCATGTACTTCATTAAAACTTATTTAACAAGCCCTGCTCCTTAAAAATGACTTCATAAATGTCGTCTGCCTGTCTACTCTTGTAAAACCTTCGCTGCTTCAACACTTACCTTGCTCCAGTTCCCACAAATAAGCTGCTGGTTGGAGAGAAGTTAATTATCTTCTGAATAACTTCCTCTGGTTGACCTCTTAGCTTGCTCTGCTGCATAGTTTTCCAGGGGGAAGACACTCCCTATTACTGTTATTCTAATAAGGGATATAAGTTTTGAATATGCAATGCATTCAAAATCTAAAATAAATAGAAGAGTACACAGTGAAACGTGAGCCTTGTTCCCTGTCTAATAACCCTAGCCTCCCAGTTCTACACCAGTTTCTTGTGTATGCTTCCAGAGACATTTGAGGCATATACTAGCATATACACATACATACTCTATTTTTTAAACACAAATGCTGTATATAATGTCTATACACACAAATATGTTCATTTGGAAGATACCTTTTGATTTCTTCCAGCGGGAGCCTGATGACTTCCAAAGTTGCAATTCTTTCCTGCTTGAGAAGCTGAATTTCCCCCACTGAGGCAGTTCCCTGCCCATCCATCTATCCATCCATCCATCCGTCCATCCATCCACCCATGAACACCCACGAACAGGTAGTTGGTGAGCACTTCCCCTGCACCAGGCACTCGGCTAGCAGCTGGAGATAGAGAGGTGAGAAGAGAAAGTCCTTGCTCTCACCCAGCTGAACTTCTAGTGGGGAAGAAACAAATTATGGAGAAGAAAACAAACAATAGAAGAAAGTTAACAAATTTCAGATGACAGAATAGGCCTTGGAAAAAATCATTTCCATTAAGAGAGGGGGCCAGGGGCAAAGGTGGCAAGGGGAAGGGAGGGGAAGACAGGGACCTATTTTAGATGGAGTAGCCAGGAAAGATCTCCCTCAGGGGGTGACATTTAAGCTAAAAACTGGATGACAAGTAGGAACAAATGTTACTGGCTTCCTTGCTTTGATGACTTCCCAATGAGATTCCAGGGCAGAGTTTCAACTTGATCCTAGTGGTGAAGAGGGTGGGCTCTGAGGTATCAGAGGCATGCGGTCAACCCCCGGTTCTGCCACTGAGCGCTGGGTGAGGCTCTCTGTGCCTCAGTTTCCTCATCTGTAATATAAAGTTATATAAAAATAGGACCATTCTCATAGGATAGCAATGAAGATCAACTGGAGTTAAGCAACATGGGTTGCCCATACTAGCCTTAAGACAGTGATTAAAAAAATTATGTTAGGCAAGTTCTCAGACAAAAAGTCAAAAGTATGATCTATTAAGGAAAAAAAACTTGATAGAAATTTTCTTCATCGATATTAGAAATGTTTGTCTCAGATGTTAGGGCTCAGCTGGTTGGGTGTTGTCCCACAACTGAAAGGTCTCCAGTTCGATTCCCATTCAGGGCACACGCCTGGCTGGGTTGCAGGTTCGGTTCCCAGTCAGGCCATGTTCAAAAGACATCCAGTTGGTGTTTCTCACATCGATGTTTCTCTTCCTCTCTTTCTCTTTCCTTTCCCCTCTCTCTAAAACCAAAAATTAAAATTAAAATTAAAAAATTAGAAATGTTTGCTCTGTGACAGAAAATGTTAAGAGAATGAACAGACAAGTTATAGTCTGGGAGAAAATATTTACAAATCACACATCTGACAAAAGGCTGATGAATATCCAGAATATAAAAAGAACTCTCAAAACTCAAAACAAAAAACCCAGTTAAGAAACTGAGCCCTGCCCCGGCTTTGCTGCCCTGCTGTCTGGCCCCGTGGACCCACGGCCAAGTAGGCCCAGTTGTTGCGTGCACCATGTCTGGTTCCTCAGGTGTCACCGCTATGAAGAAAGTGGTTCAACAGCTCCGGCTGGAGGCCGGGCTCAACCGCGTGAAGGTTTCCCAAGCAGCTGCAGACCAGGAACAATTCTGTCCGCAGAATGCCCAACATGACCTGCTGCTAACTGGAGTATCTTCAAGTACCAATCCCTTCAGACCCCAGAAAGTTTGTTCCTTCTTGTAATGAAATGAATCATTGAAGGTGTTCTAATCCACTTTTCATGAACCAGGGAAGAGTCAAAGAGAGTTCATTTGAAGCCTGTACAAAAAGCGTATCCCTGTAACATGTGCCACCCTATACAAACTTCTGCTTTTGTCAGTCCTTAACATTTACCTCTCTGAATTTTCATGAATTTCTACTTCACAAGGATGATTATTTTATATACACTGGCAACAGCATACAAATAAATACTTAATGTAAAAAAAAAAGAAAAGATAAGTAATTGACCAAACACCTGACCAAAGAGGAGGGGTGATAGCAAAAAAATAAAAAGATATTCAACAGCGTTAGCCATTAGGGAAGTGCAAAATAAAGCCACGATGAGAATTACTACACATCTATGAGAATGGCTTAAAAAACCAAAGCAAAATTCTGACAACACCAAGTACTGGCAAGAGAAAGAGAAACTGCAACCCTCATGCGTTGCTGGTGGGAGTGCAGAGTGGTACAGCCACTCTGGGAAAACAGTTTGACAGTTTCTTATAAAGCTGACCCTACATTTAACACTCAGCAATCACATTCCTAGGTAATTACCCTAGAGAAATGAAAACCCACATTCACACAGAAACCTGTACACAGATGTTTATAGCAGCTCTCTTTGTAATTACCAAAAACTAGAAGTGACTCAAATGTCCTTTGAGGGGTGAACAGATAAACGGTACTAAGTCAATATTACTAGAAAGTTATCAGAAAAAAAAAGAGGTACAAACTACTGATACATGCAATGGGAAAGAAGCCGATCTCAAAGGCTGCATACTACAATGTCCCATTTGTTAGATATTCTTGCAAAGACAAAACTAGAACAACAAAGGGCAGGTTAGCAGTTGTCAGGGGAAGGGGTAGGGGAAGGTTGTGACCACAGAGAGGCAATTCCAGGAGATTTGGGGGCTGATGGAACTAATTTGTATCTTGATTAGCATTGGTGGTTACCCAAAATTTACACGTATCTTAAAATCCATAGAAAAGTACACAAAAAGTCCATTTTACTGCCTGCTAATTTAAAATATAAGCAAAATAAAAAAATGATTGATGATTTGTTTATTTTAATTCAGCCACTCACAGTCCCTCCTCCTTCATTCTTTCTCATTTTCTGCAATAAAAACTTCTTCAGGATATATTTCTACCCCCTAAATATTGGAAGACATCCTTAATAACGACTTTGTTACTCTGCATACAAAAGTTATACATTTTTGTTGGGAAAAAAATGGAGGAAGAGAGGAAGGAAGGGAGAGAAGGCAGAAGAATTCAGTCATTACAGAAACAGGTGAGGTAGAAAGCATAATCCCTCAGGAACCGCGCCCTACAGAATTCATCCCTGGGAGAAGCTTCAGCCAGAACCATTTCAAAGCAACTTTATACAGTTGTTTCCTCCCAAGGTTCAGAACCCATGCGGTGGGATTTATTCTGATCGATTACTCAGGGAAACGTGGAGGGCCCTGGGGAGATGGCCTTGAAAAGCTAACAGCCTGAACGCCAGCCCATCCTCACATCAAGTCAAAGCATTTCACAGCTAGACAGAATCTTAGGGTGATCTAGTCCGTAAAAGGTCACCCAGTCCCTTCCTGCCCGTCTCCGCCACCACCCCCAACAAGGCCGCCACCCCCACCCCCTGCCCCCAACTCTGTGCTCACTTCCCACTCAGCCAGCTCCTTTAGCAATCACGGGGTCACTCGGTCAAAGTTCAACAAGTCATTCATTCATCTCTTCCCTCCTTCATTCCAAAATACCTACTGAGCACCTAATATGCACTGGCACGGTGACGTGTTGCAGGAATAACACCTTGGTGAACAAGACCCACAGAGCTTCCGCCCTCCCGGAGCTTCCGCTCCGGTGAGAGAGACGGCAACACACTGCAAGGCAATTCTAACACGTAGTTCAACAATAACTGTACTAAAGCCCAGAAAGTGGAAGCGCGTGGTGTGCTGAGGATAAACCCGGCCTGGCCACGCTTCCCTGAGGGATGGGCCAGTAAGCGGAGTGCCTGCAGGATGAGCAGGAGTTGGCCCGCGTGGAGTACAGGGAAGAGCATTGGAAGTGGAGGGAAATGCACATGCACAGACCCAGGGGTCAGGGTGGCTCGCCTGTACTGTGGGGTCACAGCAGTGGACAGGGCACAGTGACAGCTCTCCAGGGAAGTGTTTTGGGGCCTCTTGCTTCTGGCGTTGTGGCATCCCTGGCCCTTCCTTTCAGAGTCCGGCATCTGTAACAGAACGCTCCCCGCGAGGGGCTCCGGGCGTGGGCTCCGGGCGTGGGCTCTAGAGTCAGACTGACAGAAACCCCTCGGACCCGGGCTCCGTCACTCACTATGTGCATGCAAGCGGGCGACAACTTAATCTCTCCGTGCCTCATTTTTCCCACCGGTAAAATGTGTATGAAACTATAACATGGGAGAATTTAATGAGATAATCACATAAAGCCATGTGAAGCCATGAGCACTATATCTGTTACTTGAGCAGCGCTCCGTTCAGGGGAGTTGGTGGTAGTGTTATTATTAGCAGCACGGGGGCGCCTGACCCGGGAGGCGCAGTCTCCCTATAGTTAAATACGGAGCTAACACAGAGCCAGGGAGGGTCTTCCAGCCTCTGGATCCCTGTGGACAGAAGTCCTAGGAGAGACTCCACTGGAATGACATTCTTTGGATCCATCAGGCATGTTTTGATTGCGGACCCACATTTGTCAGTGACACAGGAAGGAGAGTAGAGGACAGATAAGACCCAGAAAGGTTCCTCAGTTGACAGATGGGTGCTGACGGTTGACATTAGCCCACCTCCACCCCTACCTCCTGCCCTGACTGCTGGACTTGGTCCCACAGGGTTCCAACGATGCCGTCAGTAACGAGAGCCCCACGAAGTCCGCTCCGGGCTAAGGAGTCACGGGTTCTGCGTGCCCAGAAAAGCACCTTTGCTCCAGTGGGAGTGTGCCTTTGGACTGATAAAGACTGGCCGTGTCCAGTTATGGGTAGGAATATTGCGAGGGGGTGAAGCTATTTTTTGCCACATGCTGTATCTGTCGGGCAGGCACACTGACATTGCTTGGGATCCAAATAGCCCAGCCTTAGAAGGTCATGGAGCTAAAGGCTGGACAGCCTGGTTCTCAAAGGGCCAGGTTGGGGTGAGGGAGGAGATTATTTGCATCACCAGTTGGGGGTCCTAGGACCTTTAATTGTCATCCCTCCGATCCCCTAACTCAGCCTCAATTCACTGTGCACAGGACTCATGCTGAACTGATTTCCCCAGGCCCAGAGTCTGGTGGCAACTGTCTATTTTTAGCCTATGATTCCCCAAGAATGCGGGTGGGCCGCTGTGGAGAGGGAGGGAGGAGGAAGAGAAACTCCAGGCCTGGAGAGCCAGGGAGGACACGGCTCAGCCAAGCCCTCGGCTCAGCCCTGTGAGAGCCTTCTCCAGGGACAGGGCCAAGTCCTCCGCCTTCTTGGTCCACCCCAACACAGGACCAGGTTGGACTTGTCCCTGGGCTCCCCTTTTTTTTTGTCCTGGAAGGCCCTAGAAATCGTGGGCTTTCCATCCTTCTTTCTAGCCATGCTTTTCGTTTTGGGGGGCTGGCATACATAATCAAAGCAAGCAAGAAACAAGACTTCTGAACATCCCCTTCCCCTGCCTCTGAAGAACTATCCCAGGCCCATCCCCATGGGCCTGCCTGTCACCAGAGAGGACACTTAAACAGGTGGCATCAAGAGGATGGATTTCACTGCTTCTCCATATGGGCAAAAGGCCTGAATAATGGAAGAACCCATAAGGGGAAGTTATAGAGATTTAGAAACTTACAAAAACTCTGAAGTCATTGTCCCTGATTACTAGTTCCTGTCTTTTTCCTAAGAAGTTCCCTGGAGCCCCAGGCCTCATTTTGTCTCTGTGATCCAGAGAAAAATGCATCTCCCCCTTCTTCCATTTCAGTCCTCCCTTCAGCCTTCCCTTGATGCTTCCCTCCAGGATCCCGGGCCCTGCCCCACGGCCTGGGGAGAGTCTGGCAAAAAGTGAAGGCACCTGGCCAAGTAGGCTCCACCTTTGGCTCTGCCAAATACTAGCTGTGTGATTCGGGGCAAGACGACCAGCCTCCTGTGACAGATTGTAAAGCTCTCTCGTGAGGTTGCGGTGAGGACTAGCAAGAGTGCCTGTAAAATGGCTGGCACATAGTAGGTGCTTAAAAAAAAAACAGCTGCTGTTGTTTTACTATCATTAAACAAAAAACGGTGTAGAAAACAAAGGTTTCTTTTTTAACATTTTCTGTCACACTATACCTGACCCTTCTTTGTATTTATAGAGCGTTTTAATAATTTATAAAGCACTTACATGCCCATTAGCTCATCGGATCCCCCACACAACCCCCTGAGAAGGGCCAAGTTATTATGACATGACTATTATTTCCATTATACAGATACAGACATTCATGGTCCAGTAAAACGTAGGTGGGTCTTGCTCATCATTGTGTTGTCAGTGCCTGACGCAGGGCCTCGCGTTGCCATGACCTGGCACAAGTGCTAAAAATGAAACAAAGCAAAGCTTTTTGAAGGCATGGTCTATAGGATGCAGTCCTATATGCCACTTACATCCCAGGACTTGGCTTTCCCTGGATTCTCGGGAAGCTCAGCTTTAGCAAGAAGATGTGCCTGTAGTCGTGGGAAGCAAATCCCAGAGGAAGTGGGAAGGGGTCCAGAGGAGAAATTAAAATTCCCTTTAATGTAGACACCATGGGGAAAAGGCTTGGCTACATTTTTAAGGGATGGGGTAGGGTGGATGAAAGTGTAAGAGAAAATTAAAATATGCACAATCCCTCTTCAGGTCAGACTACTTTATTAATTTAGGAACATAAAAAATGTATTATGTACAAGTTGATTTTGCTGCAAATTATCACAATCAGTACATTACCTTTTAGAGTACAATCCTCGTCATCAGGCAAGAATTTTCAATCTGTGGTTTACTTGTAATTTATTGAAACTTTTAAAAATG